GGTGTGCCATTTAAAAAAATGAAAAACAACGACAATTTCCAAAGTTTAGCAACATCGTAACACATAAACTGAATGAGCTTATCTTTGACAATTAGTTGACAAAGTAATAGTAGATTATACCACGAGTCAATAATGATAGCTATTATTCCCGAGGAATATTAACGAAATGAGCCGCGTTAGCGGCGAGGGAGTAACATTCCGAGGGAATAATAGCCATTATTGCGAGTAGTATACTCTACTTTATTTACGACTAATGTATAATGTGCGTATTATATTTGTGATTTTGGCAGTATAATGACATATGTTATTCCTCCAGGGATTAATGACGAGTAGCGGGATTAATGGGTCATTATTCCACAAAAGTGTCAGTGTCAAACGTGTAGTGCTTGTGGATTTGTATTGAAAATTATGAGACGGATGAAATTTGTTCATTGAAAATCTCAAATAAATTAATTTGTCGTAAATAAAGTAGAGTATACTACTCGCAATAATAGCTATTATTCCCTCGGAATGTTACTCCCTCGCCGCTAACGCGGCTAAGTTCGTAATAATCCTCGGGAATAATAGCTATCATTATTGACTCGTGGTATAATCTACTATTATTTACGACAAATAAATTTATTTGAGATTTTTAATGAACAAATTTCATCCATCACAATTTTCAATAGAAATCCACAAGCACTACACGTTTGACACTGACACTTTTGAGGAATAATGACCATTAATCCCGCTACTCGTCATTATTCCCGGGGGGAATAACATATGTCATTATACTGCCAAAATCACAAGTATAATTCTTACATTATACATTAGTCGTAAATAAACGATATATTATTATGTTTCCCTTTCGTCAAAGTTAGACTTAATATTTATCTTAACATTTCTACAATAATCTAAAAATTGGCCATTCTGACACTCTGACATGGACATTAATTAAAAAAACGTATATTAGACGTTTGCGGTTGTTGATCTTAAGGGGACAACATCGCTCCCATGCACACGATACAAAATACAGAAATCGGTTTTAGACTACAAAAAAAAACCGCACATCAGAATTTGCTGAAATTTGGCATAAACATTCCTTGATCGATTATCTAGAGAATAGTGAAGTTAGATTTTCCATATTTCGAAATTTTTTTTGGCCTATATTGTGAAAATGAACGATTTCCCAAAAATAGAAAAATCCATGGTAAAAATCGAAAAAATAAGAGCACTATTCTCTAGATAATCGATCAAAGAATATTTATGCCAAATTTCAGCAAATTCTGATGTGCCGTTTTTTTTTGTAGTCTAAAACCGATTTTGGAATAAAATTACAGATATTTTGGCAAATATGGTTCAGGCTTTTTTTCGAAGATGGCACCACCAGTCAATTCGTGATGTCATAGTTAGGCGTTTTCGAAAACCCCGAACCGTTGGAGCAGCAGCTGATGTAGGTTGTTCAGCGTTTCCAAAAAAGCCTATTGACAACAGAACCTCTTTCTCACCTTGTGTATTTGTTTTGTTTTTTATTAGGCCGTGGCTAAAGTAACAGAGGTGTTACTATAATTATTTTTTTAAAGTAACATCAATTCAATGTTGTCACTGATGAAAACGTTACTTTTAATAGGGGTTAATAGTAACGGAGGTGTTACTCTAATTATTTTCTTGAAGTAACGTCAATATAGCAATATGTAGATAGGTAATTACTTTCTTTAGCAATTTAAAGTAAAGGTGATATTCTTGGTTCTTGGCATTTCTTTTAGAGTAAAAATGGAAATAAATAAAAAATAACCTGACTTGACTTTGAAGAATAGAATAGAATACTTATAAAACAGGCACAATTTATAGGCAAGGCAGGAAAGACACATTTTTTTATGACTGTCAGAAAGTGACAATTTGTTCTTTTTTTTTCAGGTAGGAAAATAGTAATTTCGCCTCCCTATGGAGGAAAGTAAATTATTTTCCTTCCTAGGCAGAAGTTTTTTCGCTGTAGATTATCATAGTTTTAGCTCCAAAATAAGAAATTACCTATCTTCCTTTGCTGAAAAAAAATGCTTGAAGTTGATGGCCATTATTTTATACCGCTAATGATTAAAAATGGAAAACTGAATTTTCACTTTGCACACTTATAAAAAGGTAAACAATCGAATTTCACCTGCAGGAGAGAACTATACCTACACTTCCATTCCTTTGTAAGGGCATGTGAGGAATAGGAATATGGAGACGCCGTTTTTCTCACAAAAGATTTGTATTATCAATATGTTGATTCAAATTTTTGGTTTATAAAAAATAAAATATTATTATGTTGTTGAATATCACCTTTACTTTAAAGTTTAAATTGCTAAAGAAAGTACCTACCTTTCTTTTCTATATATTGCTACTATATTGACGTTACTTCAAGAAAATAATTAAAAAGTAACATCAGTGACGTCATTGAACTGACGTTACTTTAAAAAAATAATTATAGTAACACCTCTGTTACTTTAGCCACGGCCTTTTTATTATTGGTTTATAAAATAATAGGCACAAAGCATGCTGTACCATTAGTTTCCATTGAAAATAAATAAAGTACCTATCTATTCACGTACCTAAGGTATACATAAAAAAATTGGATCGTGTTTTGTAGGACAAAATGTCTTTGAAAAAATAAAAAGCTTCAATAATAATTATTAAAATTTATTTACAAAAGGTGGAAAGTGCTAAAATTAGAGTTTTTCCTTTGTGTTCTTGCATATTAGTGCAATAATAATATCCACCAATGCAGTAGAGCAATTCAATTTAGGTATCTGATGGCGAGTTGCATTTCTTTTACTAGCTCTTGGATCTTCTACCAATATCTGAAATTGTGTTAGACTCCTGGTAAGACTATTTTTTTATTATTCCTCCGAGTATTCCTCTATTTGTAAACCCATTCATGTGCCAATTGCTTCCTGAAAATCTCATACCTACTACAACTTAACATACCACAAAAACAAGCTCTAGGTATGACAAAACATCACTTTTACAGAGTCGAACAAAATTTGAAGTCATACCAGGCATGGAAATACAAATCCCTCCATAATCTTGCTCAAAAGGGATTATTTGCATTTACATACACCTCGTACATTTCAGCCTGTAAAAAGGCAAGTAAAAAAAACGGTTTATAAATGTATCCATAGTAAGCAAAACATTCCTTTCTGAAAAAAGTGGCATGAACGAAGATAAAATTCCGTTCTCCTTTTTGATTTTCTGGTAAGTGTTAGGTACCTGTAACAAAGAAGGAACCTAAAAAAAGAAGGAACCTAAAAATTATATACCTGAAGACAAATCTAAGTTATTTCTTACCTCGTATAAAAATGCCATAAGTTTCTTGCATGGAAGAGAAAAATACATGGCTTTGATAAAATAAATGAGTCGAATGGGCAACTGGAAAAAAGACTAATTTCACTATAAAATGTTCCAGTTACAATTTCAAGTAATTTCTTACCTCGTATATAAATGTCATAGGTTTCTTGCATGGAAGAGAAAAATACATGGCTTTCATAAAACAAATGAGTTGAATGGGAAACTGCAAGAAAGAATAATTTCACTATAGAATGTTCCAGTTACAATTTCAAGTTATTGCTTATCTCATATATAAATGCCATAAGTTTCTTGCTTGGAAGAGACAAACACATGGCTTTGATAAAATAAATGAGTCAAATGGGAAACTAGTAAAAAAATAAAAAATTCACTATAAAATGTCCCAGTTGCAATTTCAAGTTATTTCTTACCTCGTATATAAATGCCATAAATTTCTTGCATGGAAGAGAAAAATACATGGCTTTCATAAAACAAATGAGTTGAATGGGAAACTGGAAGAAAGTATAATTTCACTATAAAATGTTCCAGTCACTCACAATTTAATTTTTTTTACCTCATGTTTAAATGGAATGAGTTCCTTGCACAGGATTTTGGTAAAATAAATTAGGCAAATGGAGAAAAAATAAAGTCAACAGGGAACTACAAAAAAAAATAGTAATTTAGAAAATACCTAATTTAGAAATAGGGTATTTCTCTACCTTATAATATATAAATGATTAATATTATTTGGAAGAGTACTTTTTCACCAATTTTGGAATCATATGTTCCTGGTAAAAGTTGGTCAGTTTTGGTAACATTTCCTCATTCCAAAACTGTTCATCCCGTAGGATGGCATCAACATACAAGGGTTGCTCATCATTTATATAAACCACAAAAAAGCAAATATCTTTTTTGCAGATGTTGAGCTGTCCCTGGACCTGAAAAAGTCATACTCAAAAATTGGCCAATAAAAAGCTTATATTGTAATGATTACGTACTTTGTAATAATAGTGGTGTTTTCTTTTCAATCTCAGTTGTTCTCTTCCTGTTTCTGAGACATACTTTTCCACACACAAAGTCCTATCTGTTAAAACTGCCTCTTCCAAAGTTTTGCCAGATTTGTGGACCTTGTGTAAGCATTTAATCTCCATAATACCATTCAAATTCACCAGTGCTAAGAAAAATTATGTATTAGTCAAATAAATATGTATGTGCATACACATACAAAGCAACGTAACATTATTTCAACTTACCATCAGGGGTTGCAGCAAGATAATTATAAGTGGGATCAATAAACAGTCCACACTCCTGAACTGTAGCATACCTCTCCTTGGCAAATCTTTCCCGCGCCACAGCTTCTTGGACTTTGCCATAGTCCATGGCGACAGTTCTGATATTGGTGGGATTTATAATCCTTTTAACCAACTTGTCAGGAGCAGTGGATTGCCTTCTTCGGCAGACTTCGCCAAAATTGGATGCTGTAAGGCGGTCCTTTCGGTGAAGTTGGTAAAGCCTATTTTCCCACTGGCCAATGGTTTGCTGCTCTACGATGGATATGTCGTTCGGCAGTACCTAAAAACAAAAATTACTCAGAATAATAATTACAGATACACCTGGAGATAAACATACTTTCAGTCTATTCAAAAGCCTACTTTTCTCAGACTGAAACTCTTCCTCTGTGAGAGAAGCTTGTGCGGCATTTGGCCCATATCCTGCTGCTTCTTTCGAAACTTTCTTATTAGGAGTTTTTTTTTTTAGGATTTCCTGGAATCTGCGCTCTACGTGCAACTGTCATATTCACGTCGCTTTTTGCATTTTCTCACAAACGATTGAAAGGCAGTACCTGGCACCGTTGGCCTCGAGTCCAGCCAAGTTGAGCTTTGCCAATCTGCACCTTTATTGTACCGAAGTCCAGACAAATAGGCTCTTGTTTGCAAGGAGCCTTTTTGGATGGTATTCAACCGTTTGCCTGCGTTAAATTTGCAAAGCAAGGACATAAACATCTCAGCTCGATTGTTTGTTTCATTATCAATCAATTTGTGGCCCTGGCTTACCACAATTCGCTGAAGCACGGTTGTTATCCGATTGAAAATGCCAGCAATCTCCATTTCTGCCACTTTATTGCTGAAATCCCCAATACATTGACAATATAAAGGATTACATGTGAGGTGATTTCCAAAAACATGATAAGGCCCATTTTCCAAATCAGTTTTTAAATTGTCGACATCTCCATGTGCGTTGATATATATAGCTTTTGTACCTATATTTTCAAGATCCTTTATGGCATTCACCGTCAAATATTTTCGACCAGCAGCAGCAATGGTGGTATCGTTTTTTAATTTGTATAGCGCAGTTCCATAGTTTTTGATAATATGGTTTTTGCAAGCTATTTTCCTCACTTCATTTCCATAAGGAACGGTTTGCTGAATTTTTGCATGTACACTGCTGTCCCCATCAGCAATGAAATGCCAATATTTTAAACCATGCATCTTGATGCTCTCGCGAAATCCTTCACTAATAATGTCTGCCTCCATAGCCCCGGATGACCCATTCCAATTTTTGAAGCAAAGGTGCTCATGGGGTTCCTCACCTTTTTTCTCTGCCTTTGCGCAAACACAGCAGTATTTATTTCTGACACCAAGAAATAATATTTTGCCAGTGTGCTTTCCAATTATTACAGCCTGAAAAAAGATATGGAACAAATAAGTTTGTTGAACCAAAATAAAGATATAGTCTTTGATACAGATAGTATTATTATTATACAAAAGATTGAAAAAACAAAGTCATTAGATTGATACTCACGACCCCCGAAGCTGCATTATAATTATGACCATACGATCTGTGGCTCCATCCGCCATCTAGATACACAGTGATCCACGGAACTCCGTCCACATCTAGGGCATTGGTGGCCACAGCATTGTCATATTCTTCCTTGCCAGCAATGCCAGCCTCTTCCATGCTGCCCCAAAGGGGTTTTTTCCAATCGTTGGCAAGTTTCAGTTCCAATTTGTGGTACATTCGATATGACAATGATGGTATGTTCATGATACTTAGAAATTCGGTCATTGTTTTAAATGTAGTGCCTCCACTAAATGTGGCCCAAACACAGGCATAATTTAATTGAAGCCCGATTTCTTCAGTACCTTTTATATTGCACAGATTACATATAGGGATAATATTTCAGTATAGCTAATATTTACCTTTCTGTGTACGACATTTTGTTTGAAAGTTGCACATATTACAACAAAAAACAATGGTGCTGACAAGTCCATTGCAAATTTCTCTGTGCACTTTCAATAGTCCAAGGGTACATCTTTGACTATGTTTGAATTGAAGCTCCATACAAATCTCTGTTGCATACTCCAAATCAACAATTTTGTTCCCTTGGATAACTGTCGAGTCTGGTCGTGGTGTTCTTTCAACTTCTATAATGTGTTCATTGACTCTGAAAACGTGTAAAAAAATAAAAAGATGTACCTAACTTTTTATGAATATTTTATCTTACTCATTATATTCCTCTTGGCTTATAAATGAGAACTCATGAAGCTGTTCATCAGGCGAGATAGACATTGCTGGGTCTTGCTCAGATTGTAGAGGGTTAGCGCCAGAAGTAGATTGATTATTTTCTTCCACGAGGTTGCTAGAATCATATTTATTAAAAATCTAAAAAGATAAGTACTAGTTTATTAGGCTTACATGTCAAGGGGGTCACTGATGCCAGTTGAAATTATTTCGTCCATGATAGGGGTCTCATGCTCATTTTCGTAACACAGTGATTCTCTAAAAGAAAATTTGCAACCTGCTTGTAATGTATGTATTTTTTTCTCATGAATAAATTTTGACACTTACATAATAAAGCAGTTGTTCTCTTGGTCTTGGGATACTGGTGATATCATATTAGATAAGTGTTTGTGTTTTCTTGATCTTGGGTCTTACAAAATTTTTAAAAAAAAACAACTTTTTTGCAATATTTAGTTATGTATATTTTTCCTATTATCAGCTTGCTCGCCTCTTGCACCTACAAAAGCTGCTTATTGGGGGCAACCGGAAAAAGCAATATAATTTCATTGTAGAAAAACCGTTACAAACTGAATACGTCCAGAAATCGAAGTTGTAATTTACCTCTTTGAACACACTGAAGAACACCTGGCTCTAGAGCTTTCACCACCTGCATTCCTGCTGGCATAGGAATGTTCTCGCAAGACCAATCTGTAATGATGAATAATGTAGATGTAGAATAAATTTATTAGTGTAGGAAATAGAAACCAAAATTTTCAAACACTTTACTGCTCTAGAATTTAGTTTCTTCTTTCTAGTAAAAAAGGAAATCGGTACTTACATTTTTTTTCTAAAAAAACTTTCCCGAAGATTCTGGGCTCTATTGGTTTTTTTAGGAACATAGTAATTTTCTTTCACTTTACCCATTATTTCACAAAAGAAAATCACAAAATATAAAAAATAATTTAGTGAAAATTCCTTATAACTTGTACGTAGGTACGATGCACGCAAAAGGCAAGCAAGAAATAATCACAAGAATCGCATTTTTCACTCTTCCAAGTTTTTCACTGACCTTGGATTCTTTGCCATAAAAAAAATTACCCGGCAAACTAGTTCAAAATAAATTTCATTTATTCTATCGCAAATGGTAAACTATCATTTAATCGACTCAAAACTCGTTGTTAAAGTAACACTTTATTCGAAGTAGTGAAATCGAACAATTTTTACCCACTCATTTGTCAATTTTACCCACTCATACGTCAATTTTACCCACTCATACGTCAATTTTACCCGCTTGTTCAAATCTTTTAAAATAATTATAGTGTTTTTGACAAAAATCTGGTTATGTTGCATGATTGACAATACCAGAAATGTGTCAGTTTGTTAGGTACTTTGTCAACTTGTCATAATCTATGTAAAATTTTATCACATTTAAGTTTATGATTTTAGTAATTGTGATAAATGAAAAGTTGCTCAAGAATATAAATATAGTTTAAAAAAACTAAAAAACACGCTTTTATAGTAAATTGGACTAAAAAGTGAAAAATAATTTTTAATATAAACAGAAAATATTGATGAACAAAAAATATTAGAGTTATTGTGAAAAAAGCGTGGGGTGCTTTGTTCCACATTTATCGTACATTGAGCACCCCACGCTTTTTTCACAATAACTCTAATATTTTTTGTTCATCATATTTTCTGTTTATATTAAAAATTATTTTTCACTTTTTAGTCCAATTTACTATAAAAGCGTGTTTTTTAGTTTTTTTAATCTATATTTATTTTTCACTTTTTAGTTCGATGTATTATTTTATTGTTCATTTTTTTATTTTGAAGAAAAAACTTTAATTCTTATTTGTGTTTTGTTTATATTTTGCACCATTTATCTTTATCAACGGCTAGTGCGTCGCACCGCACCGGTATCACACTCACACTGAGTGTGTCATTCCTGAATTCGCCGCAGAGATTACCAGACTTTTGCAGACATTATCCAGACTTATTCAGAGCTTTCCAGAGTCTTTCAGACTTCATCCAGATTTATCCAGACTTGTACAGACTGATCCGGATTCTGGAAAATAATCCCTAGGTCTTTTGGGACCTTTTCCAGAATTTTTCCGACCCTTTCAAGAAGTTTCCAGACCTTTTCCAGATGTTTCAAGAGATTTCCAGACTCTTCCAGACAATATGCAGACTTATCCAGAGTTTTACAGACCTTATCCAGATTTATCCAGCCTTTATCCAGACTTGTACAGACTGCTCCAAATTCTAGAAAATGATCCCAGGTCTTTTGGAACCTTTTCCAGAATTTTTCCGACCCTTTCAAGAAGTTTCCCGGCCTTTTCCAGACGTTTCCAGACTTTTGCAGGCGTTTCCAGACTTTTCCAGACATTATCCAGAGCTTTCCAGAGTTTTCCAGGCTTCATCCAGATTTATCCAGACTTTATCCAGACTTTATCCAGACTTTTTCAGACTGATCCCGATTCTAGAAAATGATCCCCAGGTCTATTGGGACCTTTTCCAGAATTTTTCCGACCCTTTCCAGAAATTTCCAAGTCTTTTCCAGACGTTTCCAGGCTTGTACAGGCTGATCCGGATTCTGAAAAAAGATCCTCAGGTCTTTTGGGACCTTTGGCAGAATTTTTCCGACCCTTTCCAGAAATTTCCAGGCTCTTTCCAGACGTTTCCAGAGATTTCCAGACATTTTCCAGACTTTTCCAGGCTTTATCCAGACTTGTTCCAGCTCACTTGGGCTTGTTCCAGGTTCTTGTTCATACACTTCCCAAGGGTCCAAGTCCAAAAGTTCGCACGCATCCCTATGTGCCCGTGCGATAAACATTTTCAATGTTACTTACAAACATACATACATACAAACATAAACATACATACATACAGGTGAAGCTAATATAAGCGTGTTAAAAATAGAATATTACACACGATGGTAAAAAAGCTTTACCTGTTCGTGGAATTAATCCACTCGCTCCTTCGTCGCTCGTGAATCAACATTTTCCACTCACAGGTAAAGCATCTTTTTACCGTCTTGTATAATAAATAACTTTTATTTATCGCCAAAGTTCTAACGACAATCGAAACAAACAATCGCGCAAGTGAGTAAATGGTTTTCTTTGTCTAATACCAAAAAATAGACAAAGACAAACATAGGTCATCATTGAGAACCGATGAACTATTTTTTGTCTTATTTCAATAACAGTAGAAGAAAGAAAGAAAGTATTGTATATGCGGCGTCAAAAAACAGTCGAGGCCAATCAAATCTTTGTAAAACCAATTGTTTTGAACTCCTATATCAGTTTGTTCGGATCGAAGAAATTTCTCTACTAATTCAATTCACTACCTACTTACCTACCTATTTTTTACATACATATTTATGAATATCATTAGTTGTATTCCTTTCAAGAGTTTGAAACACTCGAGCTACTCGCTCCGGTGTTCAGTCGCCCCCGATTTGCAGGGAACAGATGCGTGGTGTAACAAACACTTTTCGAAAGGAATAAGCGCGTGAAGCCCCGGAGCTGTTCCGGAGCTCCTCCTAGGTGTGAAAGGAATACAACTATTTAGAAGCGTTGCAAAAATCCAAAATAAAAAAAAAATGAAAATTTGAAAAATTGGGAAAACGATCATAATAATAATAAAATGTTTTTCATATCCAAAATAGGCAAAAGATTATACCTACTTAGTGGAAATATTCCGAAATCAATACAAGGCAATTTCTTCATACATAAAGACCTGTTCTATTCCTAATAAAGTAAAATAGGAAAAATAAGTATATCAAGTTTGGTTGGGCCAGGCGAAATAATAATGGCAATTTCCCGAGCAATTCCCATTAGTCAATCAATGCGAACTGAGTGAAAAAAAGTTGCACTGATTCTGCAAATCGAGATCGCTATTATTTCAAATGCTTTCATCTTGGCGCCATCTATAATTTTTTCTAGAACTAAAAATCTAATTTGAAGGGGGGCCATTGCATTTTGTATCGTGTGCATGGGAGCGATGTTGCCCCCTTAAAGACATCCTGGAACAGTGTTTCCAAAACGTTTTTCTTTTCCAGAACTTTACGTTTATAAACATATATATTTCGGACGTTTTGTACTTCGTTGTTCGAAAACGAACAACGAAGTGTTCGTTTTCAAAAGGTTACAAATTTAATTCCTTGGACGTTTTGACGTTGAACGGTTCTTTTGCAGTGGCGGATCTAACATGAAGCAAAGGACGCACTCTGCGTCGGGCCCCCAGAGCTGAGGGGCCCCACACAACAACAAATAATAATAATAATAATAATAATAATAATAATAATAAATTCATGAACATGAAATTCAACTAATGAATAAAAAATAATATGAAATTAAATTTTGAAAGTTACGGCAACGTTGTATACCTTTGGGAAGCCTGTTGTGCGTGGGACGCATATTTAACTTTTTTGATATTTTTGTATGTGGAGACAAACTACTACATCACATGTATTTCTTTTGGTTTAAATAAAAATTCCTAAATTTTTGTAAATAATTATTTTTTTTTCATTTAACTTGTTTTCATATGTTTCATCTATGTTTTTAGAGTTTGTCAAATTTAATTTTGCCAGCGACGTCTGAGGGGCGAAGGGCAGAAAAATGGTGGACACACATGGTGATTGGCGGGTTGTATCGTGAACCTCGTCAAGTTTGTTTTTATGAAGGTGGCGATAATGAGTTTCAATCATTTGCAGCCAATCCAATGACATTTCCGGTTTAATGATGTGCCTACTGTCAAGGGTTGGAGTTGACGCACCTGTCAATTTTTGTCCACATTCTTTTCTTCGGTATTTTTTTTTCACCAATCGCATAACGTTACTTTCGACAGGGGGAAAAACATGTCATTGCGACGGCCATTTCCACCAACCACATATTTTCGGGAAGCCTAATTATTTATAAGTATTTCTTAAAATGACAGTTTTCCATGGAGAAATGTCAGTTTGAGGAATACTTATCGTAAATGGCTTCCCTGAAATAGTTGATGGAAACGACCATGAAACAAACAAACGCATTGTTTGACCTCCCCTCGAAAGTGAGGTTATGTGTGTGACGTCAGCTAATGCCTCCAATACCACAAGAAAAATACTTGAAAAAAGTATGACAGGGCCCCAATTTTTTTTTTGCGTCGGGCCCCAAAGGTCCTAGGTGCGCCACTGTTCTTTTGTATTGGGGCACAATTTACTCGAATACAATTCTATTTCTCAATATGTTAATTTTCTATTTTTCTTCTAGCCAATGTCATCGTGAGCATCGAATGCAGAGCTTGGGCCAGAAACATCAAATACGTTGGTGGTACCCTGAACAGGGCCGGATCGGTACAATTTGAAATGCAAGTAGATTCCGCGCCTCCTTCGTAGGACCAATCAGAATCTTAACTATCAACAAGGCTTTTTGTACTTATTTTTTGTTTTTTTGTCATTTTTTTTTTTACTTATTATTAATTAAATCCGTTTTTTAGGTTGTGCTTTTTTTCTTAGTCTTGTTTGTATATACAAAAACTTGCCTAAGATTTATTATACTTACCTATTATTATTTATTTTTGTAATTATTATTATTGTTTGTGTCTTTTATGTAGATGCTTTAAATGGATATAAACATGTGAATGTCTATTTTATAGGGTTTTAATGTTTTAAATGTAGGTGAGATAGGGCAACTCTTAAGAAGTTTTAATCTTTTTTTAGAGTACTTATTACAGTAGAGTAAGTATAAAGTTTTATCAGAAGTGCCATTAGTTTAAAGTGTGCCTATACGAGTCAAAATCACAAAACGTCTTTTAAATATTTTTCTAGATCTATTTTTCATAAGTCTACTCTACCTGATGATGCCTTAAGAAGCCTTATATACAAACATGTTTCAATGCTTTTTACAAAAACTGTAGCATTTGATATAAATGCTATTGATCTGACTATTTATACTGTCAGATAGGATTCTATAATTGTTAACTATTAAATATGTTAAACTGTTAACAAATATATTTGTGCAAAAAAAAACACATTATATAATATACATATAGAACCTACTTTAGGTACCTATATTTAAGAACAAACTATTTTTTTCTGCATCCTGATTAGCTTAAGTAGTTATTAATGTTAGTATTAGAATACCTATGTTTTTTTTCCAAATTAAAAAAAAGAAAAAAAACCTTATACATTTTATGTAGTAGGTTACTTATCTATTTCGTTATACGTAGTTGCTCTTTCAAAATCTGTGACAAAATAAATTGAACAAGTTTTAGACAATCGTTTTATTTGTTACAACTCGAAAATTATAGCATAATACATTTTTCCAACATCTCATTGATATCTTTGGATATACCTAATTTTCCAGAACTAGAGCTAGTGCCCTTCTTTACGAATACTGTAATTTCAGACAGAAAAAGTTTTATACTAAGGAATTTCCTTGCTATGTTGAGCCTCGTTCAGCAGAATGCAATAATCGCTAATGACGCCTATTAGACTTAGTCATGTCAAACTTTGACTTCAATGTCTTAAGAAATTATACTCCTCTCTAGAGTTCACATCATTTGTTCATGTACCTACCAGACTTTCAAAAAAACAGTAATATGCCATTTGCCAAAGGAGTATAATTTTATTATTTTAGAAAGGCTAACTTTCACCTGGTGTATGAGATGATCTTAAACGCTGATTGGTCTAATGTGTACAATTCTACAAATGTGAACGCTGCGTGCGATGCCTTGTATGGTGGTTCTTAACAGCATATTTGATTCATGTGTGCCAATTAAAACCCACATAGCAATTGTACATGCTCAGCACATGTACAGAATATTCCAGACAAGGAAAAGTATATGCTAGATATGTTCCAAAAAAGCATTGCGCACATCCACAGTACATCCTGAGTATATGTTACAGGCCCACCGTAACAGATGTTAGGTATGTGCTTATAATATCCTCAAGTATGTCCTTGTCACAAGCTCAGCATGTACTGAACACATATCCACAGAATATGCTCCAAATGTACCTACTATATTCTTCAGGAATGTACATATCATGGGATATTTATATTCATGACATATGCCTTGGCACATCTATAGTGTATAAATAGTAGGTATATGACATGAATTCCAGAAATATGCGACAAAAGTGTCTGTTTCAAAATTAAATAGAACAGGTAAAAAGTTAGTGTAAACGCTTTTTGCGGGGACCCTGTAGTATTTGCAATTGATCTGACCAAGCGTACTGTTAGCTAGGAATCCTATCCGAATGTGCAATTAGTTACAACGATCGTAAATACCACAGTGTGTCCGCAAAAAGCATTTCCACCTGTTACCTGCTGTTCTATTCAATTTTGGGACAGACATCCCATTAAGCTGACCTACCTTTCTTCTTTTGCTGGGACACCTTTTGTCCTAGCGAAAAAACTGTCTTTTCACACTCAGGAACAAATAATTAAAATTGGAAATTAGGCTAAAAAAATAAAATGTTAACAAACCCATATGAACATATATTTGAATAAGCTTTCAATATTACAAAAAATATGAAGTGTGTAAATAATGTATGGAATAAATAAAATTTGCAACAGCTTCAGCAGACTTGAATGGGAAATTCTTTCTTCCACGGCGACCACAACCCAAGAGCTTGAATAGGAAACAAACCTGGGAGAAGGAGTGTCAATGTTTGGGAAAACCACAATTTAGACTGGAATTTGTGGCTGCCGATCAACATTACTAGCGGAAGAGGTTCTCTCACTGCTGGAATAGGCAGTCATAAAGTGTCTCAACCCTAAGATTTTCCTGAATTATTTTTAATTAGTATAATTATAAACCTAATTTACATTCTCACATATGAGGTAAACAATATCGAAATAAAATATTAACAACTACCTATACTTACCTTATCTTCAAGTTTTTTCTGTGTGTGCAAAACCACATAATGGAAGATAAATAACTTGATAATTAGTGGACTGTATAATTAGGTGGACTGGATGATCGACTGGATAGGGAACTAAAACACACGCGCTTTTCACTGACACTATATTTACAACAATTTACACAATATTTACACTATTTACAATTACTACTACAAGATGACAAGAAGCCAGAGCTTGCTTAGATGCCCAACAGGGCAGAGCTAGATTATAAAATTTATTAAAATGTGAAAAGGTTTCTGAATGCTTGTTAACGTGGACAAGCTCCAAGTTACACTGCTGCAATGACAAAAAAATGGCGCGCAATATATTGACAGACATGACAAAATAGACATGACGACAACGCTGCAGTGTTGCAAACTTTATATGTATAAAAATATTTTGCCATCAAAAAGAGATAGCATGATTGTTGGAACATGTTTCCAACATGCTGGGGGGCCTAGAGTTTCACATGAAACCAAGGTAAAATTTTCCAGCAAAAAAAATAAAAAAATTAAAGAGAAAGTAAGCAACCCTTTTTTTAAAAAAAGGTATGATTTCAATGATGATTCAGTAAACGAAAACTTAACTAACAATTAAAGCTAAAAACATTTCTGGAACACATAGTATGACATTATGTATGTATATACGAGTATAGCTAATTGAATATAAATATAAATCTAAATGTTTTACAAATATATGTACAGAATTTTGTGAATAATTTTCAAAAATATTATTAACAATTATTGTCATCAATCGGTAACACTGCAATCTTGGTAACCGATCTGAGATAAATACCTTTTTTGGTTTTCACTTCGACAACCCTTACTTTGCCGTCCTTTCCAGGTATTGCTTTAACTATTCTTGCCATTGGCCACTTATAAGAAGGTACATTATCCTCTTTTAAAATGACTAACAAGCCCTCCCTAAGGTTAGGCATCTCATCACGCCATTTTGGCCTATTTTGGAGTTGCGTTAGATAGTCGTGATACCACTTTTTCCAAAAATGCTGCTGCATCTGGACACACAATTTCCAAAACTTAAGTCGACCTTGGGGAATTTCCGTCAAATCAGGGTCAGGAAAGCTTGTGATAGGCGCACCTATCAAAAAATGACCAGGGGTCAAATAGTCCAAATCTGAAGGATCTTGTGACAAGGCTACAAGTGGTCGGGAATTTAAAATTCCTTCTACTTGGACAATAAGAGTATTAAATTGTTCATAGGTAAGCTCATTGCTACCTATGACTCGCTTGATGTGAAATTTTGCCGATTTTACTCCAGCTTCCCATAAACCACCAAAAACTGGAGAATAGCTCGGTATAAAATTAAATGTAATTTTTTCCTGAAGGGAATAATTTTCAATTTTTTCTGTTTCGTTATAAAACTCTTTGATTTTATTCTCGGCTCCTTTAAACGTGGAACCATTGTCGCAGAAAATATTTGCGGGCTTCCCCCTCCGCGAAATAAAACGCTTCAGAGCAGCTAGAAAATTTTCGGTTGTCAGGTCTGAAAGCAGTTCCATATGAATTGCTTTGACTGAAAAGCACACAAAAAGTGCTATGTATGCCTTGGAACTTACGGATTTTCTAATTCGAGATTGCTTAACGAGGAAGGGACCGCAAAAATCTACCCCGACATTTTGAAACACTCTGGCTGAACAGACTCTTTTTTCCGGCAAGGAACCCATTAATTGAGTGGAACATTTTGCTTTGAATTTAAAGCAAATCACACATTTGTGTAGCTCTTTTTTAATTAATCTTATTCCATTTATGAGCCAATAATTGAGGTTTAGGGAACCTAAAACTTGTCTTGGTCCAGCGTGCAACAAAGTTGAATGTTCTTGTATTATAATTAATTTGGTGATGTGACTTTCCTTGGGCAAGATCACAGGATGTTTCTGATTATATGGAATGTTTGAATTATGTAACCTTCCACCCACTCGCAATAATCCATTGCCATCTAGGAACGGCGACAAAGAGTTTAATGAGGATTTTGAAGGGGTATTGGAAAGTAAAGATTTAATGTCATTAGAAAAGTAAAAGTCTTGCTCACATTTTATGATTACTCTAAGACTTTGTTCCAGTTCTGAAAGCTTCAAACTTCCCTCAAGTTTTTCACCAGAATTTTTTCCAGAATTGTGAACAAATCTAAGTATATAGGCAAAAACTCTTTGAAGTCTTCTAAGGGATGAAAAATCTTCAAAAAATGAATTTGGCTTTGTTTTTATGACTTGTGTTAAAATTTTTTCTTCTGGCAAGGAAGCAGGAATTTCTATAGGAATCTCATTATGGCAAAAATTAATATCAGAAAGAACGTTTGGACCGTGGAACCACAGATTATTTGACTCAATTTCCTGAGGCTCGAGACCCCTGGATAGACAATCGGCAGGATTTTCTTTCGTGTTAATATATAACCATTTAAAAGTTGAAGTTAAGTTTTGAATTTTTATAATTCTGTTTGCCACATAAGGGTTTAATTTCAGAGGATCTGATTTTAACCAAGCAAGTACAATGGTCGAATCAGAATAAATAAATACTTTATCAATTTTTGATTGCAATAAGATAGACACCTTTTTTGCCAGATTTGCTAAAAGCAAAGCTCCATTAAGTTCCAATCTAGGAATGGTAAGTTTTTTATTTATAGGTACTATTCTAGACTTTGAACAAACTAAATTTACATGTACTCTGTCAGGAAAAAATGTTCTTACATAAATGACTGCTCCATATGCTATCATGGACGAATCCCAAAACCCTACAAGCTCAATGCTATTTGCGTTTGTGAAATATAAATTCCGAGGAATCTCCAAAGTTTGCATGTTAATAAAACCCTTTATAAAACTTTTCCAAATGTCCAACAAATCATCCCAACTAAGTTTGCATGTCCAAATTTTTTGCATGATTACTTTGGCTGCCACCAAAATCGGGCCTGCCAACCCCAAAGGGTCATAAAATTTGGAGATCAAACTGAGTACTTGTCTCTTTGTTAAATATTCATTGATGTCCATAACTTTAGGAGTTGACAATTTAAAATGATCAGAAATGGTATCATAAGTTAGGCCTAGTGTTTTTACGGTAAAATTATTCTTACTCATATCAACCTCATCGAAATTTTGTTTATCTTTAGGGATGCCACTCAAAATGTTTGGTTCATTGGTACACCATTTATGCAGAAAAAATGATCGTGAACCCAATAAAGAAATTAATTCGTCTCTAAGCTTTATGGTCTCTTCAATTGTGTCAGAACCCGATAAGATATCATCTACGTATGTATTATTTAAAAGAGCTTTTGCTGCGAGAGGGAATTTTTTACCTTCTGAGTGAGCCAGCTCAGCCAAACACCTCGTTGCTAAAAAAGACGAGCTTTTCAAGCCATA